TTTAAGTGGGAGAACTTGCACAATTGGTGGCTGACTAAATACTTTTTTGCCCCATTGTATAAAGGCCAACACATGATTTGTCTTTAGTAAACCTGTGTTTTACACATAACTGATATCAGGATATCTTTAATACATAATGCCTTACATTGTACAGATAGGATATTTTTGGACATTTCTAGCAGATTTCTGAATTGCTGGTTTCTTTTCTTTTAAATGCAGGAAAAAGGGATCGAAGCAATGTTTTTTCCTCATCCTTGCCCTAAATGGACTCTAGACTGGGGCAGTTTACCTGCTGCAGTCAACCCAGGAAAAGGCAAGAATCTTACTATTTCTATAGAATCATGTTTTTTTTTTCATTTGTCGAATGATGATTTCACATTCATATAAACTAAATTGTTATTTTAAAATAATTTAGGGAAATATGTGATGTTACTGTTAGCAGTAAAATTATTAATCATAAATAATATATGGCCTGAAAACAAATAGGATAACTATTGTGTTCCACTAAGAATGTTCTTAGAGGAATTGTTTGAATGATCGATTATGTGCCATCAAGTCATTTTTGACTCCTAGCAACCACATAGATAATCAAAAATGATTTGATGGCACATAGTCAATCAGTTCCCCTAAGAACATTCTTTGCTTTCATGTTCCACCATGTATTTCATCTCTATATACAGGTTCGCTTACAGACATTAAAAAGTTGTTTATCATTGAAAAAATATTAGCAGAATGCAAAAAAAAAGTTACACAGCATTTGCTTTTGATATTTTTGTCTTCTGGTCTTAGTGAAGTTCATTAACTTTTCCAGAAATGGAGGGCGTATTAATTGAAAATATTCTTGGTTGATTTAAGAATGTAATGAAGTCACCATAAGTGGGATGCTGATTTGAGGACAGTTCAAAGGAACATCAAGCTTAAATCTTGAATTAGATCGCTTTTGTGAAAACTTAAGTCAAAGAAAACAATAAAAAACATTGCACCATTGGAAGCAGTAAATTTTCAAAGATGATTTATGGAATTTTTGAAATAAAGTCTCTCTTTACTAGAATTTTTGGGGAATATAATACATTGTTGCTCTTTTATTTTCTTTCCAGTTTGCAGCAATTTTAGACCACTAGAGGGCAGTAAAATCTGTAGAAATAGTGGTCTATTCCTTGTATTTATTCCTTGTATATTTATTCCTCAGATAAATACATCTGATAAGATTAACCCCACATTATATAATTATAAATGAAAAAGAACTGGTTCACTCAAACTCTCCTGAATTAGTTAAAATGGGGGGGGGGATGCTACATGAAATGATTTGAAGTCAGGAGATAAACTTATTTTTTAAAAAATACTATGATTGTTGTATGATTTTTGTGATATATTAATAAAATAAATAAACTCAGTGATTTCCTATTGGGCAACGTTTTTGAGGCCTTGCTTTATTATGGCACATACATACCTAAGAATAGAATATGTTCTAGAAGGAGTTTCACTTTGATGCAGTATGCTAAGTTGAGTTGCCCTCTATAACTGTAGCACAGGAAATTCTATGTACAAAATATATAGATATCTTGTGGCACAGTGGATACTATATAAAAACACTGAGTTATGTCCTATGGTGTTCATCCAGTGATGGAATACTATCACTAGCAAAAGAGATTCCTCTTCTCCCTCCTTGCTCTAGGTACCCTCCAAGCCTATTTCAGTTGACTTGGGGACCATATAGAGCAAATTTTGAGTATGTAAGTAAAGGAGATGGAGAAAAGTCCCACCAGGTGAGCAGCAGTTCACATGTGTAAGCTTAGATGGATCAGGAATTCTCTATAAATTATGGTAAACACATTAGTAGTTCTGTTAACACTTCATAAATAGTGTGAATTTCTCTAAAGGGCTCTTCTTGTTTAAAGTTTATATCCTAGATAGGATCATAACTCAGCAATCAGGAAATATTGGCAAGTGTTCCTCCTCCTGGTGATTTTAATTAGATTAGAGGTCAGTAAGTATAAATAATACTTTTTTTTTTTTTTTGGTTGCCATGGCTTATCCTAAACACTTGATTGAACAGCTTTCCCAAACAAAATGGAAAGTCAAGATTTCAGCTAAGCTCTTTGTGATTTATACGAAAGTTTTTTGTTCTCTCAGGGAGGTAAAAATATGCTGATGGTTACCCTCACTTCATACCTCCTGATTGATTGTCAGAAGGACTTTGACGATGTTGGAGGCCTCTGATTTGTGTTCAGGATTGCTTTGACAGAACAAGACAAGAAGCCCTAATTATGATTTTTAGACTTTTGTTTAAAAATTATTAAAAAGAACTTTTTTAATCCCATAAAACTATATTTTTTTGAGTCAAAAATAAGAATTAAAATTATATTTTTCCACCAAAAAAAAAAATATGTTTACATA